TACATTTGAATCGTGCAGACTGTTAGCAATAACTATAATTGGTTTAAATGGAATACTATTGTGTGATTTAATGTCCGTGTAAAGTATATTGTAATATAATATATTTTGACATCATCAATCAAGCAATATAAAATTAAATGTGTGAGATCAAAAATCGTTTTTAAAATTTGAAAAATATTTTATGAGTAGTAATGTCATATCAAAACGAAAATAGCAATTAATAACGATCGAATTAAATGAAAAAAAAATGCAAAAAATTTCCGTACGTGTAGTTTTCTTATGAGGCCGCCCAGAATGTGCCGGAACGGGATACGAACCTGCCTACCTAACGTCAGGGAACCTATCCTAACACCTATCGACTACCGGTTTGAGTTGAAAACCGTAATCGAATTTCGAGCACATAAACCGTTTTAGAGATGCGACGAATACCATAGTATACGTCGTTTAAGCGATACGATTTTTACGATTCGAGTGTAGCAACCGTAAATCGCACGTTTATTGTCGTTTAGAGCGTTTCCGACGTATTCATTACATTATTAAATCGTGTACGTCTTAACGACGTACCGAGTTTATTATCACATACACACATCTCGATATCGCCCCAAACGTACGCGATCAAAGGCATTACAACGACCGGAGAGCAACGATTCTGCGATGTTTTTGTGTAATACACATAAGGATCTGGTCATATCTGACGTACGTCATCGACGGTGCGCACGTTTCTTTTTTATACACATTACACATAATCGTATTTTATACGCTATCGAGACGATGAGGTCGCGGAGGCGTCCGAGGGCGGAGACGCCGAAAACAAAAAAACGCGTATTCGATAGGGATAAACGATTTATCGTATAGTAAAAAAAAAATAATAGTACATACGTGACGACACGATAAACGACCGGAGAACGCGTTTTCCGGACGCGACGGCGACGGTCGCGAACGGAATTCGGGGACGCGCGACTCGCGAGAGACGCGTTCCGCGCGATCGGAAAACGCACGGACGCGAAAAAGGCGAAACCGATTCGGGCGGAGAGAAAAACCGGTGGAACACGGGCGACGTCTAACCAGACGACAGAGGACCGAATCCGAACGAAAAACGCGCGCGGACGGGACGAAAAAAACCTGCTCGGGGCTACGGCGGAGAGAACGCGACGGAAAGAGGTCTCCAAAGGCCGGAAAAACGGGCGAAAAGCGGAAAAAACGGTATAAGAAAAACAAATAATAACGACGGCGGCGGGAGATAACGATAACGATAACGGCGCGCGCGAGAGATATCAGATAAGAAAGACGATAAGAAAAAATTTTAATTTTCCGATTGGCCAGTGCACTAAACCAGAGCACTTTGTCGAAAAAACCCAGGAAGCTCGTTTTGGTTTTATATTATAAGAAGAAGAAAGAAGAAGAAGAAGATAGTATAAATTATAGTACAGTAGATTTATAGATTTATAGTATATACTGTAAATAATTAGTATAATATAATAATACGAGTATTACATAAATATAAACTAAAATGATAGTGCTTTAAATAGCCATATTCCTTGTTGTTTTTTACAGTATTCAGGGCTGATGGATTTTCTTGGTATAGTTTTTATTAATTTTATTATTCTTATTTAATATCATACGACATATTCTGATGAAGTTAATCTTGTACTATAATTTCTCTACTGACACCAGTACTCAACAACCAGGCACCCACCCACCCGCAAGATAAAATTACCGGGCAATTGCAATTCAAAATCATGGCAAGCAGTGGCGCTGCTTGTAATATTATAAAAAGGCATTTTACTAAGTTTCTATATTATATCATTACTAAATTTAATTTTTTTTAACCGGGTTTTTTTTTTACACGGAGTTATAACCAAGTATGTTTGGTGTAATATAAAAATACGGCACATGCCATATTTAATATGTATATAAAAAATTTTGTTTGTACATGATATTTTAAAGTAAAGTTGATGGATCTTTATTGGCTAAGTTAATTATTCGGTGTACTGATTGCTTTTTGAGCACTTGGTGTTAGATATTGGCATGGAAAATGGATAAGTGTGACGTGTAATTAAGAATGGTACTTTGAAATTAATTCGAGTTAATAATTCTGCAGAATATATAAGAGCTAAAGTATTTAAGCCGAGTTGGTGCAGAACTGACGAATAATCATAAGCTGGGTGATAAATTTTAACACATTTTTTGCAAATTTCAGGAACCTATGTTGAAAACTCTCAATTTGAAATACTTGGATCCCATAAAAATATACAATAGCTTTATATTCCAATATAGATTTCACAAAAAACAATATAAAGAATTTTTTGGAGTAATTAAATTAAATTTACTTTAAATGCTTTTTATACAATTAACTTTTTTAAAGCTTTACAACAAATTCTATTTAAATGAGTATGAAAATTTAACTCGCGGTCAAAAGACAAAAAATTATACTTAAATCAATAATAATAATTGTAAGTTTGTCTAACTCTCGGTCGAGTTTTTTGATCACGTACCACCCGAACCGCAACCATCCGAGCAAGTAGCCTCCTTACGACAAACGATGAGCCAGCTGCGATATACACCCAGGAGGCCAGGACAAATCACGACAATCGACGTATCACGTTCGTGCCTACATAGTACCTACCTAAACCGGGTCAGTCACGTCTTCATAAGAATCGACGCCGACAAGACAGTCTTGATGTCCATCAACCGACTCGAGCGAAGACTCGGTCGTCGATCATTACTATGCGTGCAATAACGATTAAAAACGACCCACGATCGTTTTTTTTTCGCCTAGGTGTTTAGTAATGTCGCGTTATAATCGCATTATCACCACTTTATTTTTTTTTATGTGTTTTTTTGTAATTATTGTACTTATTGTAAATGTTTGTCATATTTATTGAAACAATTATATTTCCTACCGTGATTTATTTTGTATACACCGTACTCCCCTCCCCAACGGCGCGAAATGACGCCACGAGCCGAAACGGTCTCGTCCATTCAGATTTTTAATATTTTTATGCGCCCGCTCGCTACATCTCCAAATAACCAAACCATTCACCATACGCACCATCGCTAACCGCACAATACTGTCGGCCTTTACACGACATACCATGTGACACTCTGTGCTTCTTTCTTGTGTACGCACAGCGTCGCATCACATTTTATTTTATACTTAGTTTATACACTGTTTTTTTTCGACATTTATTTCTTTCGTACGAAAATATTACCAACTAGAAATACCACAAAATGAACGGTGATATATTTATTATATATTATATTATTATAACCTAACCGTTGTGAGCTTATTTTCGATATATTACACTGTTTGAGATTAGGATATTAGGTACCAACACAGCACACGTACAGTATTGCTACTTTATAATTTAACTAATTACTACTAAAAAAATATTATTAATAATAAGTGTACAATAGAATACGTACTAGTTAAATTAGTATTAATAAATTTCAATAGATAATAGTGGTATTTATTTTGATCGCCTAAAATAAAAAAAATATACACATACTTTATATTAGCCCAATTTGGTTAATAAACTATTTAAACGATAATTGATTCTTTAGGATTATTTATTTCAATACAATGAACTATAATTTTATATTATGATATTTGCATTTATGTTAGGGTGACCATATTAAGAAAATAAAGAAACGTGACATCTGAAACGTCTACTCCCCCCCCCCCCTCCCAAAGAATGAGTTTACGGAAAGAAATTCATTGATCGAATGTCAACAGCGAACAGTGTCAACTAACAACTATTAGCGATAAATGCGTAATGCCTATAAAAGACGGAAGAAGACGGACAACGTAAAAACGATAAAGAACTTAATAGAATTAGAATAGAATAATAATAATAATAATCGAATCAATATAATTATAATATTCATAAGACTACAGGCTTGTCGTCTAGTTGTCGATACCGTAATACGGGTATTCGTAATAATTGAAAAACAAAAATAGCAGACGACCGTCAGCGTACACATACTTTTATATTTAAGGAATAATAATTATAATAATTGTGTAGCGTGTGCGTGGTTTGGTCGGTCGGTGCGATAAGACGACGACGACCGAAATAATCGCACAGCTGAACATGGTGTCTGTTATTTATAAATTTGGTTTCTAATTTTAATCATATATACGAGTAAAACTGTTTTATATTAATTGTTTCATAAATCTATATTTTTTTCACAAACATAATATAATAATATTGAAACAACGGGATTAAAACAGGACCATCTTCTAAAAACGGGATAAAAAGCGTCCCGTTCGAAGTTTGTCGGGACAACGGGACATGATGAACAAAAACGGGACAAACCCCTTTTAAACGGGACGTCTGGTCACCCTAATTTATGTGCATATATTTCAATATATATACATATATACGAACTCTTTTCATGGTAGGTAGTCGTTGACAAGGAAAGTAACAAGATTATGAACGATGGATCACGTAATTAATAATTATAAATTAAGTTTTACACGAGTATAATCATATTTAAATTTGTCAATGTATAATAAGTATATCAGATGTATATTATATAACTATTGGAGATGAAAGTTCTGTATGAGTGGAAATAATATAGACAGATAATGATCATGACAGACGGCGATGCATCTTATTTCTGATTATTTATTATAACAGCAGTTGTCATAACCATACTCTTTTAGAATAGTAAGGTCGTCATTCAAATTCGTGGATTTTTATGTATAAAATCTTTATACATATTGAATTTTCGGGAAAATAGATTTTTTATACTTATCAAGTATAAATAGCAATTTTTACTGTAATTATTATAATGTGACTTTACATAGAATGTGTGAAACCCAAAAGTTTAAGAATACGTAAGCATAAAACATGTAATACAAAATTATTATTTACGATTCTTATTTTTCTCATCTGGTGCTATAACAAAATACAATTATAAAATATGTCAATAAATGTTCTGTTAAAAACTACATGTTTGTATTTATATGTATTATAACATAAGTGCATTTAATGTTGGCATTCGCTCTGTTTTAGATTTTTTATAGAACGATTAAATGTTTGATTCTAATCAATTTATGAACAGTTTTTACAATAGTTGTTGACGGGGAATGTAACAAGATTATGAACAATAAAACACATTATAATTATGAATTAAGTTTTGCAAGAGTACAATCATATTTACATTTGTGAATATATAATAAGTATATGAGATGTATATTATATAACTATTGGAGATGAAAGTTCTGTATGAGTGGAAATAATAGACAGATAATGATCGCGACAAACGTCGACGCATCTCATTTCTGGACAAGTATTATAACTGCAGTTGTCATAACCATACTCTTTTAGAATAGTAAGGTCGTCATTCAAATTCGTGGGTTTTATGCATAAAATCCTTATACATATCGAATTTCCTGGAAAATAAATATTTCGTACTTATCGAATTTTAATTGCGATTTTTACTGTAATAATTATAATGTGACTTTTTAGAGAATACGTAAAACCCACAATTTTAAGGACACACGTAACCAATAAAAAATGTTTTACAAAAATATAATTTACCTATCAAAGAGTTCAATTCCTTGCTATCTTCAATAACTATATACAATAATTATAAAATATGTCAATAAATGTTCTGTTAAAAACTACATGTTTGTATTTATATATACATATTGTAACAAAAGTGCATTTAATATTGGCATTCACTTTGTTTTAGATTTTTATAGAACGATTAAATGTTTGATTCTAATCAATTTATGAACAGTTTTTACAATAGTTGTTGACGGGGAATGTAACAAGATTATGAACGATTAAACACATTATAATTATGAATTAAGTTTTACACGAGTACAATCATATTTACATTTGTGAATGTTCAATAAGTATATGAGATGTATATTAAATAACTATTGTAGATAAAAGTTATGTATGAGTGGAAATAATAGACAGATAATGATCGTGACAGACGGTGACGCATCTCATTTCTGCATATGTATTATAACAGCGGTTGTCATAACCATACTCTTTTAGAATAGTAAGGTCGTCATTCAAATTTGTGGATTTTTATGTATAAAATCCTTATACATATCGACTTTCCGGGAAAATAAATATTTCATACCTATCGAATATTAATTGCGATTTTTACTGTAATTAGTATAATGTGAATTTATACAGAATACGTAAAACCCACAAGTTTAAGGATACGTAAGCAATAAAAAATGTTTTAGAAAAATATAAATTACTTATTGAAGAGTTCGATTCCTCGGTATCTTCTATAACAAAATACAATTATAAAATATGTCAATAAATGTTCTGTTAAAAACTACATGTTTGTATTTATATGTATTGTAACATAAGTGCATTTAATGTTTGCATTCGCTCTGTTTTAGATTTTTTATAGAACGATTAAATGTTTGATTCTGATCAATTTATGAACAGTTTTTGAAGTAGTTATTAACGGGGAATCTAACAAGATTATGAACGATGGAACACGTTATATTTATGAATTAAGTTTTACAAGAGTACAATCATATATACATTTGTGAATGTATAATAAATATACAAGATGTATATTAAATAACTATTGTAAATGAAAGTTCTGTATGAGTGGAAATAATAGACAGATAATGATCGTGACAGACGGTGACGCATCTCATTTCTGCATATGTATTATAACAGCGGTTGTCATAACCATACTCTTTTAGAATAGTAAGGTCGTCATTCAAATTTGTGGATTTTTATGTATAAAATCCTTATACATATCGACTTTCCGGGAAAATAAATATTTCATACCTATCGAATATTAATTGCGATTTTTACTGTAATAATTATAATGTGACTTTATAGAGAATACGTAAAACCAATAAGTTTAAGGATACGTAAGCAATAAAAAATGATTTACAAAAATATAATTTACCTATCAAAGAGCTCAATTCCTTGTTATCTTTAATAACTATATACAATTATAAAATATGTTAATAAATGTTCTGTTAAAAACTATAATATGTTTGTATTTATATGTATTGTAACATGAGTGCATTTTAATGTTGGCATTCGCGCTCTGTTTTAAATTTTTATAGAACAATTAAATGTTTGATTCTGATCAATTTATGATCATTTTTTGCAGTAGTTATTAACGGGGAATCTAACAAGATTATGAACGATTAAACACATTATAATTATGATTTAAGTTTTACACGAGTACAATCATATTTACATTTGTGAATGTTCAATAGTATTTGAGATGTATATTATATAACTACTGTAGATAAAAGTTCTGTATGAGCAGTGGCGGTTTTACGGGGGGGTGGTCCAGGGATCTGGACCCCCGCCAGATCCCGTGTTTAGGTTGTGATACATTGTGGGTTCCAGGAGCTCAGGTTTTGACTAGCTAGTAGCTATTGCGACTTTTATATGCGGTTACACGCTTAAATATAATTCTGGTGATTTCATCATTATTATTCCGTGTATTTGAATGTTTACTACAGTTATATAGATATTTATATTTGCCCTGAAAAAATTATGATGTTTACGATATTTATTATCTGTAATAACAATAGAGTTTGGCGGTTCGAAAAATGTCACAGCCACTGCGATAAACTATCGTCTGTCAATTACTTTTCAACCGTCGTGCATCGCGCCAGTCGAAAGTCTAAATTGTAAATTTTTAACCTTGTTTTTTATGTGGATTAGTTACAAATTATTATTTACGAGTTTATTCACAAATATTTTTTTAATCTAAGATTAGCATTCAATTTGAATCGAACTTCAAAAGTATTTAAAATTCAGGTTCGTAAAAATTTAAATATTTATAATAAAAATTGAATAGGTGCCTATTATATAAGTAGCGTAGCCAAGTTAGGTTAGATAAATATTAAGAAAATTTAAAAATTATTTTAATTTCAATGGTTTATGAAAGCCTACAAAATTCTAAAATTGTATTTTACTGATTTTAAATTATCATCTTTATATTGTGTTGTTCATTATTTTTTCATGGACAAAAATTTCCATTATTTATACTTTACAGCCATTTATAACCGCGCTAGTAGATATTTAATGCATAATATAACATTGTGTATCGATCACGATATTACAAAATATTAACGTTCTGCGGTTTTTTTTATTGTTATCACATTCATTGATTTTGTGTTAAAATCTATAAATAAATATTTGTTAGCGATTAGCAAGACACCCGATGACTATTCTTATCTTTACATCTAATCGTATAGTCTATAATATAGTTGTATAAAAAATATACATAAACGACCAACGTCAACGGGTGACGGAAAATATTGTTCGGCAATACATTATAATACGTATTATTATTTTAATATTTTCAATTTTGTATGTAGTATCAGTATTTATTATCTATAATTACTTATAATTCCGGGTCCTAACTCCTTATAATAATATTAATAATTATTATGATTTAAAATTATGTGAAACTTGTGTATGTGCAAAATTAAACCTTTAAAAATAGAATAGCGAAGCCATCCCCCCAAAAAAACATTTGACTAACCGTTTTTAACGTATACATTACGTTGAAACCTACGCTACGCCACTAATTGATAATATATTGAATAATACACAAATGATTAGTCACCGTTTAATGGTTATTATTAATAATTGCATATAGAATATTTTGTTAGATCAATATTAATTATATAAGATTACTTATGGATTACCTATATTTATGGTTATAGACTGACTAGAGTTTAAACTCGATTGAAGTATGTCATATAGAAAGCAAAAATCTTTAACACATTTTTTCAAAACCACATCAACATCTGATAATTTTAAATCTCTTAATTTGGCAAATTCGTCACCCATTAATGAGAAGGAGAAACCATCAACAAACAAAAGATCTGTTTCTCCATTATCAAATGCTTCTAATAGTCCTAAAAAATCACAATTGGATTCCCTTGCACTGATCTCTACGTCTCCATTTGATATATATTTCTACAAAAATAAAAAATTTGATCAAAACGATAAACTAAATGTTTTAAATAACCTCTGGAAACCCGACATTCAATTTAACTTTCCAACAAAAACTTATATTTGTGGAAAGGAAAAAAAAGAAAAAAATCTTAAATTTCAGTATTCTTGGTTGATGCGATTTTCTTGGTTGGTATACTCGGCTATAGAAAATGGTGCATATTGTAAGTTTTGTGTAGCATTTTCCAAAAACGAAGGTGGGAAGAATTCTCATTTATTAGGCAGCTTAGTATTAAAAAAATTTGATAATTAGAAACATGCAGTTGAAAATTTTAATAAGAATTCTTCCCTTGAATATCACAAACAATGTTTATTCGATGCGAGCAATTTTTCTAACGTGTTAAAAAACCCTGAAAAATCTATTATCAACATGATACGAACCAAAAGAATGAAACAAGTATTAGAAAATCGACAAAATATTAAACCCATAATTGAAGCCATAATGTTGTGTGAGCGTCAAAATATGCCTTTAAGAGGACACCGTGACTGGGGACGTATACATGTTGATGATACTTAAGAAAATAATCAAGGAAATTTTCGTGAAATTATTCGTTATCGAGCACAGGGAGACGATGTATTAAGGTCAGTTCTAGACTGTGAAAAAACAATAAAATACCTAAGTAAAACGAGCCAAAACGCCATCATAGATTCTTGCAACTCAGTTTTACTCAGAAAAGTTGTAGCATCGGTAAATAAGGCAAAATGTTTCGTTAGCAAGTACTGCGAAACATTTTGCCTGATATTTCCGGAGTAGAATTAGTTTCTTTGTGCGTCAGATATGTTGATTTGGACAAATTAGAACTCCATGAACATTTTTTACAATTTATTCCAACGAATGATACTACGAGAAAAGGACTAGCAAATTTAATTTTAGAAAATCTTAGTACGTTTGGTGTAGAGCTAAAATATCTTCGTGGTCAAGGATATGATGGCGCAGCAGCAATGTCGGAAAGATATAAAGGTGTACAAGCGCACATAAAAAAATTGTATCCTTCTGCCATATATGTACACTGTTCTGCTCACTTATTAAATCTTGTCGTATCTAAATCATGTTCTCTCCAACCCATAAGAAATTGTCTTGGGGTAATAAGTAAAACACGGGATTTTTTTGTGTATCTAAAAAGAAAATCAGTTCTCACACAAAAAATTGAAAATTCTCCAGACAATCCCTCGAAGAAAAACACTAAAGCGTTGTTGTGAAACTCGATGGATCGAAAGGTATCATTCAGTTAATGTTTTTTTAGAATTCTACGATTTTGTTGTAGAGTCTTAAGATGATATTTCAACGTGGGAAGACAGTGATACAACTGGAAAAGCACAGTGTCTACGAAATTCAATTTTGAATGGAGAATTTATTATTTCTTTAATAGTTTTAACAAAAGGATTTGGAATTGGATTACCGTTATCGAAACAGCTTCAAAAAATTAATATAGATTTAAGATTAGCTGTGAAGTTAGCTCATGAGACATATCACGAAATACAAGTGTATAGAAATGATGCAGAAAACAAATTTGAAAAAATTTTTAAAGAAGCCTCTAAGATTGCCGTTAATTTTCAAGTTGAAATAAAGATTCCAAGAACATCAAGTAGACAGACACTAAAGAGTTAATATAAATATTACATCATCAGAGGAATATTATCGTATATCTGTATTTATACCATATCTTGAATCATTTGATAATGAACTAAAAGAAAGATTTATTGACCACAAAACTACATTAAATTCTTTTCATTCACTATTTTCGAAAGAAGAATTAGATGATGATTTTATGACATTAGTCAATTATTACCAAGATGATCTGGAAAATGGAAACCCTGCAATTTTATTGGCTGAATACAAATTGTGGCAAAGGTGTTTAAAAAATTTGAGCGAAGAGCCAACTAATGCACTTCAAGCTTTATCACTTTGTAATAATGATATTTATCCTAATATATACAAACTGCTTCAAATACTAGCCACATTACCAGTTTCAATTTCATCTAATGAACGTACTTTTTCAAATCTTAAGAGAATCAAAACCTACTTGAGGAACACTATTGGAGTAGTAAGTAATTGAGAAAATCATAATTCATATTTTAAAATATTAAACATAATTTAATTAATATTTCAGAAAAGATTAAATGGTCTAGCTATGATGTGTATTCATAAAGATTTGAAATTAACAGCTGACGAAGTTTTGGACGAATTGATAAAAAAAAAACGAAAAATTGTTTTTGTATTGTAAATAAAATGCTATACTATGGTTTTTCGTTTATGTAAGAATTAAATTTTATTTAGTTATTATTAATGGGTTAAACTTTTTTTTGTCATTATGTATTATAAGATAATGTTAAAGGACCCCCCCCCCCCCAGAAAAAATTCCAAAAACCGCCACTGTGTATGAGTGGAAATAATAGACAGATAATGATCGTGACAAACGGTGATGCAACTCATTTCTACATGTGTATTATAACAGCGGTTGTTATAACCATACTTTTTTAGAATAGTAAGGTCATCATTCAAATTCGTGGATTTTTATAAATAAAATCCTTATACATATCGAATTTCATGGAAAATAAATATTTTATACCTATATAAATTGCGATTTTTACTGTAATTATTATAACGTGACTTTTTACATAACACGTAAAACCTACAAGTTTAAGGTTACGTTAGCAATAAAAAATGTTATACGAAAATATAATTTACTTTTTTTCAAAGGTATCCTTTTTGTTTCAGCTTCTTTAACAAAATACAATTATAAAACATGTCATTAAATGTTCTTATAAAAACTACATGTTTGTAAATATATGTATTGAAACATGAGTGCATTTAATGTGGGCATACGCTTTATTTTAGAATTTTATAGAACGATTAAATGTCTGTTTCTGATCAATTTTTGAACAATTTTTGTAACGTTTAACTAAAGCATGTAATCGAAAATTGATGAATAACGTTGAACGCCTACCATAGTGACGAAAACTACAAAAGTATAACTTTTATAGTTGATTGATGTTTAAAAATATAATAATTTTTTTAATTTATCCAGTCAATGCTGATAATGACTAAGTAATAAATAAAATGCCTACAATTGATAGACAATTTGGGTAATATTCCATTTATTTACTAAAATATAACTTGAATCGAAAAAATCATGTATTATTATCATGTAAATATATTATATTCACAAGATAAACTACTACGGTACTTCGAACTACTTATCCCTAACTCATAGCAATACTCATGCCGGCAACCTCTCGGAGAATAATTTTGCTAAATTTTTTTTTTCTTTTAAGTCAATAAAATTTTTGTCTTATGGAGCTATTTCTGTTATTTGTGCTTTAAAAAACCATTTTTTGTACCTATAGTTGTATAAATAAAAAATGTTATTTTTATTATAATCTTTCAATTTTAAATGTAAACATTTATATATCATTTGTACAAGCCATCTTAAATATAGGCAATAATGCTAATAAAATACAAGGTGATTCTCTTGCCTTATCAACATCAGGGATTGGAATTCGAACAGTAGTTCTTACATTAATACGATTTTGTTTCCTGTTTGATGTTTCTATCATTTTTTTAGCCTGTTTTTCTAAACATTTCATTGTGGATTCTTCACGAGCAGTATGTATATTTTGTTGCACCTCAAATGGTAAATAATAAAAATATTATACTCCTATATAAATATGTTTATAATGCGACTTTAAGATGGATGGATGTGGTCGAAGACAATTTAAAAAGGGTAGGAGTTAATGACCGGAGAAATATAATTCGTAACCGGGAGAAGTGGCGTGAAGTTGTGATAGCGTCAAAATTTTTCGTAAAGAAGATCAAGCCAGAAGAAAAAGAATAAGAAGATAATAAAACCTTAGAAAATTAGTATATTCATTGTTATTTTTTAATCAGAATATTTTTATAAACATTATAATATACATTTTTTTTGTTAATGTTACATACTTTGTACTAATTTTATCTCTCAGACCCAATCGAAACATCACAAATTTTCGTTCAACAGCACCGATTAAGTATCGTTTGATTTAATATTAAAGTTAAACCCATTAAAAAACTTAAAGTTAAAAAACTTATCTGTTTTAACTAGTTGGATTTTTAAAATTTTTTTTATTTTTCTGTGATATATGAGTATTTTTAAACTATAATTAATTCATATTCCTTAACTTAATAGAATTCTAAACACATCTACACGAATCGTGTTTATACCTAACAGCATATGACGTAAAAATAGGTAGATACGCGTCAGCAATGAAGTACATTGTTCCTAAAATCTAATTTTGTTTACATTTGATTTTTACCTTTAATCTTACGCTCTAACTTTTTAAGATCTAAAGAAGAAAGTATATAATTATTAATAATTAATTATATATTTTTAGTTTTCGCTTTATATCTAAATAATTGATTGCTTCTTAATTTAAGCAATCGTACCAATCTAAAATATAACATGATTTAAAATAGAATTTTATATTAATAAATAATGATGTAAAAAGAAGGTACCTTTTTTGCGTAAGTAGATAAAACAATGAACTTAATTTATTAGTTTAAAAAAATGATGAATTTATTAATATTTTTTTTTTTGTGAATACATATTAAGTATAAACATTTTTAATATCGATCTTTTCTACATCGCACTATACACTTAACCCGACGTATTCTACTATTGAGCAGATAAGGTTCTACATCACGCATTGTCCGAAACTAGAGTAGAAATATGTATATCTATGTAACTGCATATGAGAAAAACATTGAACTGGATAACGCGTATATTAGATTAACTTCTTCTATAGATTGAAAGAAATGTATAGATAGCCATTTCAAATTAATTAAATTTGAGGTAGGTCAGTTAGGAGATAATAATAATTTTAAATGAGCAATTGAAAGTACTGGGGAGTCAGTGGCGTAACGATAGGGTGGCATGACGGGCAATGGGTCATGGACCCACGACTCTAGAGGGCCCTTCAAGAAAAAAATAGTACATTCAAAAACAAATCACCATTAGTGAAATTTATAAATACGATTCTGTTTAAAAATATATGTATATTCTTGTAAAATAAAATAAATTTAATAACTGATCACGATTATTTTTATAGATTATTCTATTTACCAGTCCGTCGACATTGTCGATATTATAGTGCGGCCAGCGAAACTAGAAGCTTGACAGTCATGCTCCCGGTGGCCGTTTTTTTATCAGGGGTACGAAGAACGCTCAATTTCGAAAAAAAGATCGCGCAGCTACACAAGCAACTAAAATATTTAGAGCCCTTGGTTTTCACGAAAACGGTCACCAGGAGCGTGACCGTCAAGCTTCTAATTTCGCTGGCCGCACTATAATATTATTATTATACATTTAATGATATTGTTATTTGTAGAATGGAAATAACAATGAAGCGTATCGCAATCCCTTGTCTTTGAAACCGAACGTAACATTTATATATATATATTTTTTTTTTTTAATTAAAATAAAGGCTTCAACATCATCAGGTTATTAGCCTACGATCACAACAAAAGTGTACAAAGATAATATAATATATACAGATATTTACAGTTTATGGTCAAGACGAGTATAATGAAAAAATTTTAAGATCGCTTCGGTGTTTTCTTCACTGAGGGCGAGTCGGAGGGATGATGGGTTCTTGAATATTTTCCGTGCTTGGGAGTATTTTGGGCATCTTATTATAATATGTTCGATAGATAGAGTCACGTTACAAGCGGTGCATATTGGAGCAGGTTCCTTGGTGATGAGGAATGAGTGGGTGAGGTGAGTGTGGCCTATTCTGGCTCGGGTAATAATGACCTCGTTTCTTCTTTTTAGGATACCGGGAAAATTCCATTTTTTGATGTGGGGCTTGATGATCCTTAATTTATTAGTTAGGGGAACGTTGGACCAATTTTTTTGCCATGTCTCTAATATTTTGAGGTTAATGATGTTGAGTGACTCTGAGGATGTGGTAAGGTTTAGTTTTGGGGTATTCTGGTGAATTGAAGCTTCGTTTGCGAGTTGGTCTGCTTTTTCGTTGCCAGGAATGCCGACGTGGGACGGGACCCACATGAAGGTGAATGTTTTATTTGATTTTGATATCAGATCCTGGATGTGTTGGACTAGTTCATTTGTAGAGTAGGGATTTAGGATTGATTTTAAAGCACTTAAAGAGTCACTGATGATAACGAAAGAGTCCAGGGAGGAGGAGGAGGCGATTTTCAGAGCTTCGAGTATAGCATAGGTTTCCGCTGTGTAGATGTTGGTGTTGGGAGAGAGAGCAAATTTGTAATGTTCGTGTCCTAGAACTGCCACAAAGCCCACGCCGTTGGGATTTTTGGAGGCGTCAGTATATATAGGTGTACTACTGGGGTATTGTTGAGACATTATTTCTGAGAAGAGACTACGGATGATAGTGCTGTCGGTGGAATGCTTACAGTGATTGGTAAGTTGTGTGTTGATATGTGGAAACCACATCCAAGGAGGCGATGAGAGTTGTGTTTTGCACATAGGTTGTATTTGGAGGCCAATATTTGTACTGATCGTTGTGAAATGTTCAAAGATTGTAATCCTGTTGTTGATAGGACTAGTAGCCAGGGGATTGTGAAGAGTCTTGCTGGATATATGATTAGACAAGTTCTTAATTCTTGCTATGTATTTGAGTATAAGGCTATGGCGTCTTAGTTCAAGAGGGAGTTCGCCAGCGTTGCATAAGATGCTATCTACCGGGCTGGTTTTAAAGGCTCCAGTAGCCAAACGTATACTTTGGTTATGTATAGGATTAATGGTGTTGAGTACGTTATTTTTTGCGGAATTGTAAATTATAGAGCCATAATAGATTAATGAGAGAATGAGGGATTTGTAGATTCTGAGGAGGCTTTTTGTCTCAGATCCCCATGTCTTGTTACAGAGTATTTTAATGGTTTTCATTCTTGATAGACATTCACCTTTGAGTTTTTTCAAGTGGGGGCGCCATCTAAGTTTGTCGTCGAACGTGAGACCTAGGATACGGATATTATCGGAGAAGGTCAAAGGAGAGTTCATGAAAGTGATTGGTGGAAAGTGATCGTTTTTCTTTTTGTTGAATATGATGCATTGCGTTTTTGAGGGAGAAAACGTAAATCCAGACTCCGACAACCACCTGGAAAGAGCATTCAGGGAAAGTTGAAGAAAATGGGAGGTAGTTTCAATTTACGATCCACTGCAGTAGATATGGCAATCGTCCGCGAAAAGAATGTATTTAACCGGCTTGGGGATTTTTTCACAAATGTCATTAATGGCGACGAGAAAGAGAGTAACGCTGAGAGCAGATCCTTGAGGAAGTCCGTTGACAATATCGTGGGATGATGAGAGGTGGTTATTGACTTTGACGCAAAACTTACAGTCGGCAAGAAAATTTTTTATAAATCTCAGGAAGTTACCATTCAGTTCCCAGTTGTGAAGGATTGTTAAGACTTTGTTTTTCTATACAGTGTCGTAAGCTTTTTTGATGTCGAGAGCTATTGCAATGAGGTGCTGTTTGCTTCTATAGGAGGAGCAGATGTCGGTATGTATTGAGGTTAACGCGTCTAGTGTTGAGTGGTTACGTCTGAAACCACATTGCTCTTTGTTGAGGAGAGATTTGGATTCTAACAACCAAATTAGACGTTTGTTTATAATTTTTTCAAGGAGCTTGCTCAAAATGTTGATTAACGATATCGGTCTATAGTTCTCGATTTAAAATTTGGATTTATCTGGTTTGGGAATGGGAATTACGTTAGCATTTCGCCATTGAGAGGGGAAGAGACCTTGTGTCCAAATGGTATTGTATATGAGGAGAAGAGTTTGGATTCCAATTTCTGGTAGATTTTTGAGGAATGAGTAGGGTATGTTGTCGGGTCCAGGACTCTTGCTGTTACAAGATTGAAGTGTCGAGGTCAGTTCAGACATGTCCAAATCTAAGTTGTATTGAGCGTTGGTTTGCGTATATACTATTTCAGGTACTATGTTGTTGAAAGATCTGTGCGTGATAAAGTCTGGACTATAATTCTCGTCGCTGTTGTTTTTTTGAAAGAAATGGGCAAAGGATTCTGAGGCGTTGGGAGAGGAGACTATTTTTTCTTGGTTGTAGTGCAGAATATCAGGAATGGTTTTGAATTTGTTACCTTTGATAGAGTTTATTTTGTTCCATATAATTTTAGGAGATGTATTCTGGCTTATGGAAGAGGTGAAGTTTTGCCATAAGAGGGTTTTGCTTTTTTTGGTAGTATAACGGGCTACGGCCCTAGCTTTTTTCAGGAGTATGTGGTCTTCAGGAGTTTTGGTTTTTTTATATCGGTTGAGTCTCTTTTTATAGTTCTTAATTGCATCGTGTCAGTCCTTATTCCACCATGGAACATTTTTTTTCCTGGGATTTTGGTTGGTCTTAAGCCCGATTGACTTATAGCCTGCGTCTAAAAATAGTTTCCGTGAATTTTTTGATTATTGAGTCAATTTTGTTTTGGGTATCACAAGGATTTATGTCTAGCGGAGTATTATTGAGGTCATGTTCGATTAGTTGAGAGAAGAGGTCCCAGTTGGGGTTTTTGAGATTCCAGTAGGTTCCATGGTTAATGCCGGAAGAGTGATCAAAATACTGAATACCTATAGGCCAGTGGTCACTGCTACTATATGATGTCAGTATTTGCCATTCGAGTAGTGGTGCCGTATTATAATCTGTGATGGAGAGGTCAATCGCTGAGAAAGTACCGTTGGCAATATTATGTCTGGTAGGCTCATTATGGTTGAGGAGGCAAAGAGACTCCTCGTCTAGAAATTCTTCTACTGATTTCCCCCGGTCATCGGTGTGCAAGCAACCCCATGCTATGTTGCGGCTGTTGAAGTCACCTAAGAGTACGAAGGGCTTAGGGAGTTGGCGTATAATATCTGTGAGGTGCTGTTTTGTAAAGATTTTACTGTTCGGAGTATATATATTGCATATGCATAGGTGTTTCGCAAATTTTACGAGTGTAGCTGTTACTTCAAGGTCAGACACTATTGGGATGTCTTCGCTTTCGAGAGTATTACTAATGAAGGTGGCAACTCCGCCACTTGCTCTGTTAGCGAAGGTTCTGTTTTTAAAAAAACCTGAGTAGTTTTTGATGTGAGCAGTGTGGTTATTCTTGAGATTGGTTTCTTGGAAGCAGATAATTTTAGGTTGAAAGTTATAAACAATACGGTTGATATCGACTGTCCGTTTATAGAAGCCGTTAATGTTCCATTGGATAATTGTGCTCATGATTTGATGTTACTAATAGTTAGTGGATGGTATATTAGACAGGAGGAGGTCAGGGGTATTGATAATGAGCTGAGTGAGGTTGCATAGAGGGTTAGTTGTCTTGAGGTGGTGGTAAGGCCTGGAATAGAAAGTTGGCCAGTCTGGTGAGTAGAGCTTTTGTGGTACGTTCAGTGACTTGAGGTCGTACTGAATCAATCAAAAGCATAAGCGAAGTGATATCCGAGTTTATGTCTTTACATATGTTGTGAATATTTAAATTTTTGTTGTTGAAATTTTCCAGTACGTATTTGAATTGGATAAAAGAGATGGGTGAGTCATTGGAGAAGATGTCCTCAGCTGGTTTGAGCCCGTCGGATATTTTGTCAGCTGTCTTTGATGAGGAATTAGAACGAGATCTGTCCACTTTAGTCTTTTTGGAGTTATGCCTCCTTCTCTCGGCGTTTGAGTTTGCCGGAGGGTGAGAGGAAGGTGTTGCTAGAGATGAGGCGTCAGAAAGGGGTCTCTTATGTGTTTCACAAGGTGGAGTGAAATGGTTTTCGGTTATTTCAGTACTGTTAAGGGGGGAAGGCTGAGAGGTTTCATTTGCTACATAGTCTTCCGTTATTCCTTCCATTGATGGGGTGGGTGTGCAAGGAGTATTAATGTTTTTTACTGGGGAGGGGGTGACATTTGTTTCCAGAGTGTTGAGCATACGGGGGTGTGGGGTAAGTTCTTCCAAGGGCGGTTCTTCCACAGTAACGGATTGGTTATGTGTGATAATGGTTTAGGGATTGTCAGTTGTTTTCTTGCAAGTGTTAGAGGTGTGGCCAGCGGATTTGCATAGAAAGCATGTGATTCTGTCGTCGGTGAAGAATATACTAAATTCAGTTTAGTTGTGAAATAGTGACAAAGATCCAGGGAGATTAGGTACGTCTTCATGTTTAATATACATCAGTCGACGGAAGCTTAAGATGTGCTCATAGCCCTCAATGTTGATACCTGCTTTGAGGTAGGAAATTTCAGATACAGGGGTAACATTGATATTTTTGAGCGCGTCAAGTATAACCTGGTTAGGTATAGAAGGGCAGACATTAGATATGACTGTCCTCTTAGCAGGATTAATAAGTCTGCGTATTTGGATTACATGATCGTTAATTGTAATCGTTTGTGTGGATTCTAGAAGTGAGTCTAGTATTTGTTTGGTTGAAAGAAAAATACAAAATCGGTTATTCGAAATGCGAGATACGAAAGCAATATTTCTAGGCGGGATTATTTTGCCTATGGCGACAATGTAATCTCTTTGGGGTATACCGTCTATTGAATTGAACACAAGTGCTTGTTCTCTGCTGGGATAGTTTTCATTAGCTGCCGCGGACGCGTAATTACGGATTGTGTTTTGTGCGGTATTGTTAGAGTTTATTACTTGATTGTTGATAACGCTGGACGCAGAAGACGTCGATGACGGTATTGCTGATGTAGACGGAGTAGGAGAACTAGAGGTGGAGGTAGAAATAGTGGTTTTAGGTATCCTAGAGCGACTAAAGAGAGTGGGCTGTGAAAGATGTGCATTTTTAGGTTTGGTTATTTGTGTTGGAATAGTTTTAATATTTGGTTTATTCGATATCGGTTTACTAATGACCGGCGATAATGACGGTCTGGCCGTCTTATTAACGTTGCTCATTGTGCGATTAGGAGGGTACTAACATAATAGTATAATATTATATTACCGTATATGTGTGTCCAGTAGTGGTGTGCTATCGGAAGCTATTAAATGCGAACTCGCGAAAAAGTAAAACACGTGCTACACGGTCGGCTGTCAGACACGTACTGATTTATATTTTATATTTAGATATTATATTAGATTAGAACTATTCTAGGAAAAAGTGACCGTCGTTTGGTCGTTGTTACATTATGTTCTTTTAATTTATATTTTATTTTGTTATTAGTTAATGACGTGTCGTAGACCGATTTTGTTTTCGCCTTCTGCTGTGAATCAGTGATTCGTATTCGTATAGGTATTGTGATCAATCATGTCGAAAAAAATACCTAGTAGCTATGAAAAGCGTAAGAAAAAATCGGAAGAACAAGAAAAATAATTAAAATTGGCTAAAATTAGTAGTTTTTTTCTAGTACCACTCCTCGTGAAAATAAAAGTGAAATAATAATTAAAAGTGTTAATACCGAGGTTAATAGTGAACAAAGTGTTGAACTTAGTTCTGTAGATAGTGAAAAAAGTGAAGTATCCGCCCCAGAAATGTTGTCATGCTGTTCATATAAAGGTACGAATCAAAATGAATCTTTTGATATTGTTTTTAAAAATATTATTGAAACTTCTTCTGATCCGACGGATATTGGACATTTTAAAGAAATCGTTTTAGATACTCAAACAAAACGGTTCATAATTGAAAATGGGCATAGTAGACCTAAAGCTAAAGGGCCTTTCGCTAAAAATTTAGACGATAGATCTTTTTCTGAAAAGTATTATTTTACAGTGTCCAAATCTGGTTTAAAAATCGAACGTTCGTGGCTATGTTATTCGACTATATTTCAAAAAGCGTATTGTAGGTCATGCTGGCTATTTGGAGATCGCGCATCCACTGGCTTTCAAGATATTTGGACTACAAGATATCGTGATTGGAAACACATAGTAAATGGCATCAAAAGACACGAGCAATCAAACGTTCACTACATTTCCTGTTTAGTATATGAAAAATGGTTTTTAAATAAAACATTAAACGAAGAACTAGAACAGAGTATAAAAAAAAAAAAATTATTTTGGCGTCAGGTTTTAGAGAGAATTTTAAATATTACTCTTATATTAGCTATGCGAAGTTTACCTTTTCACGGCCACAGAGAAAAGCTCGGTAATTTTATTTGTTTTATTAAGTTATTTGCAAAATACGACCCAGTACTAGAAAAAGTTATTAATCAGGGTAATAATAAAGTAAACTACTGTAGCCCTAAAATTCAAAATGAACGAAATTTTGAATATTTAAATTTTGTATTGCTTTGTATATATTTTTAAACCAAAAATTGTTTAATAAAATTTTACTATAAAAATAATATTACACTAAACATGCTTTTTATTGTATGTAGCCTTAAAGAGGAGAATTTTATAGGTGGTTAGTTTTTGTAGGCTATTCCTCATTTTCCAAATTTATAAAACTAAGGGCCCGATTGGATTAATTTGCCACGGGCATTAAAAGTTCTGGTTACGCCACTGTGGGGAGTCATTTAATATTGAATCAAATTTTCTATGTAAATCGGATATTTTAAAGGAAATATAAACATTAAAAACATTAAACATGTTTTAAATTTTAAATTACACTATGGTATTAGTAACAAAGATAACAGTAAAGAGAGGCGATTAGAGTAGGTGTAGCCTATCGTGAGATGTGAAATAAGACAGATTCCGCTTACATTGTTTTAATTTCCATCTTTTTATGTGACGTTAAAATTATTGTAACCAATGTAAATGGAGAACTTTTATTTAAGTCGACAATGACCTATTAACCTTATTTTTTACATCGTTTATAATGCAATGATTTTTTTTCCGAAAAATAACATAGCACCTGACTGTGCGATTGCGTCTTAACGTCATTGCTCGAGTTTGGAATACGTGAAAAGTGAATTTTCTAAGCGGATAGTTCATTCATGGTTATCGGGAAATGTGTTTAGTCAGCTTAGAGATAATACTGTGTAATAAATGATAAATGTATATGTACAAATATACATAATACGATGACGACGACTATAAAATGATTTTACCTATGCGTAATATGAATGATGTGTAACAAGGTCGCGTTTCAATGCACTAAAGAATATCATGTGAACACGAGTTACGTAAATTATAGAATTATAATAAGAACTTTTATTTTTATTAAATTAATATTATAGAATATGTTATATCAGATTAAATTAAACTAATATTGTTAATTGATAGCCTGTATCTTTTATTTATTATTTTCAATTACATTTATATTTTTCATAATCTTAGTTCTATTGATAATATCTCAGTAAAAGTTCATCTGTATAAGAAAATCAGTTTAAAAATATATACTGTATTAGTTTTCTTACATATGTTATATGATATTATGACATTACCATATCCATCATCTACAGATAAAAAAATAATAATTATGTTATTACTACCTACAAAAAAAAAAGGTTTTTACTTTTTGCATTCTATAAGTAGTATTTTAATTTTTTTTTTTTTGAAATGTTATAGTGATTTTTGACACATTTACATATTATGTTATTTTTAACTTGGGGAGCTAGCGTATCGTATTCTATATAAATATCTACCAATAAAATTAGTTAAATTTTGACCTGTCACGAATCTTAATGTCACATAATGATTTTTAAGTTTTTAGGTATATGCATTTTCGTTAATTAAATATATACTTACTAAAATATTTGAGTGTTATATTAGCTGTTTATAAATATATAATTTGAAAAAATAATGTAAACATAAAAACGTAGTTATGCTATTTTCATGAATGATACTCTTAACAATAATTGTTAAACATTTATTATCCAGTTCTTAATAAATTATAATTAAGTTTGAAAATGATAATGCATAAATATATTAATCTCACTATAATTGAATATAATGTTAAATCGAAGTAATTTATTATGTTTGGATTTAAAATTGTGTACAGTTTAAAATGAGTTATCTTTAAATTTTTTATTAGTTAATTATAATTTATATTAATATGATCATATGAATTACAAAGTAAGCCTTTTATGACATGTCATACAAAAGTATTATTTTATTGTACTTAAATAATACTTGAAATAGTCAACTATTATATTCATAATTGAATGATTGATTGATATGATATTTTGTGATTCTAGGTCTGTTATGTTTTATGATTATCTATCATAGAAACGATATTAGTGATAAGGTTAAAAAGTTATTTATTTCAAGTCAGTTAACATACCTGTACAATCTAAGATTACAAATAAATTATAAATCAAACGTATTTAATTCAAATATATTTACAGTAGAACTATAAAATAAAATTATAATTTTTTTTTTTAATAGCTATTACATAGTTTTTATTATAACATTTTTAATATGGAACTATTTTGGTGATTTGAATGAGTGTTATTATTTATTAGTAAAGTCGAGTAAATCGTTTCGTTTTATTCTTTATGGGTGACCAAATAGCTTTATATTACAAGTGTTAATTTGGTTTTGTCTTTTTTTATTTAAAATCTCTCAAGGATTAGTTATTAGCGTTATAATTTTCATAATTGCAATAAACAACATCTTCAACAAAATACCTTAACCAACAAAACATATCTTGTTCAACGACGACTGCTATATCTATTGCAATCAGAATAACATGGAAACCACGTTAAGCATTCTACAATCATCATTACAAATCCTCCAAAACTGGTGCAAAGAAACCGGATTCAAATTTTCTCTTGCCAAAAGTCAATGCATTGTATTCAACTACAAACCTAAAATAAAACAACACCTATATCTAAATAACGCACCATTATTTTGACAAAATATTAGGAATACATTTTGAACACAACCTTAAATGTACATCTCATTTGAAACAACTTAAAATTATTCGTAAACATAAAATTAGTATAATCAACATTTATCCCACCGCACCTGGGGAGCAAACCAAAAGTCACTCCCATTATATACAAATTTCTTATTTTATCGAAAATCAGATATGGATCTCAAATATATAATACTGCTAAGCCCCAACCTCCTCAATATACTTTACCCTATCCATAATGAAGGTATGCGGTTAGCTATTGACGCATTCAGAACAAGCTCAATCGACAGCTTTCTGATATACGCCGGTGAAATTCCTCATCAACTTCAAAAACACCAAGACACATTAAAAACTACATTATCAAAATCGGAGTGTCGGAATTGGATCCGAAACGTCTGAATTGGTTACCGGATTGTTTCAAAACAAAAAGTGTTTGTCGTGATAACCGATTTAAATAAACACGGTTGTATCTCGACAGTTTTAATTGCTGGATGTTATCATATGATGTAAATAAGTAATAAATTATATAAGTGGACTGTATAAATCTGTATAAATATAACGCAAATATAACTTAATACAATATATTGCAGCAAATTATCTTACACGAAAGAATCTTAAGGCTATGTTAGTCCTAGCACAACATAAGTAATCCGTATAAAAATAATAATAATAACAAAGTCACAAACGTGATACTAACAAATATAAAATAATATAATAATAAATGTACAATACGTCTGACCTGGTCGTGGAAGGATGAAACGGCTCCAGACGACGTTCCGTCAATTGACAATGTCGGCCCAATAACAAACACGTAAAAGGAAACGGCGCGTCAAAAATGGCGACAAAACGGTCCGCAACCGGTCCCGGATGAACACACGAAACAATAATAAAAGAAACAAAACGCGTTTAATGCCAGTAAAAGGTAGAATCAGCAAACAAGGCGACAAAAATATAATTATATCGCCCGCACTAGCGATTAAGTCCACCTTATACCAACAACGAAAATGGATCGGTGACAAAACGAATAAAAAACCAAACGCCAGGATCATGAACAACGAACTAACTAAAAGAATGGCGACTCACTCGGTTGTTTCCGCGAACCTGATAAGGATGACATAACCTATAGCCGACGGCGCAGGTACGGCAGGAACAGTGTTTCCACGAACCAAATTTTACTGTTTTTTTTCTTGGCGTCGTCTGGCCCAAACAAAAGGTATATCCGAATTGGTTCCAGAGTTTTTAAAAATTGTGTCTTGATTGTTATGGGCTACGAGATATACTAATTATATAAATATATATAATATAATGTTTATGAGCTACGAGATATGCTAATATATAATATAAAGTGTAATATTGCTATAGGTGCTAGCGATAATAATATAGATATATATGTGATCTAAATATTAGATTCATATTTTGTAAAAACATTGTAATAAATCAAAATAGTAGTTGTTAGGCGAGGTCGTTTTGCATTTCCAAGAATTGCCAGTAAGAACGATAACGTCCTGGAGATTGTTGTTTCAAATGTGAAAACAACTCCAAGAACTAATCTAAATTGGAAGGTTGACAATTACAACAACAAGAGATTTCCTTGTATATAAGGGAGTCCGGAGACCAACAGGGGCAGATGTACCAGAGCTATGAAGACCTGAGCAACTTCACGACACTCAGCCACTTTTTGTAACAGTTACATGTATTTCGTTTATACGTAATAAACACATTATTGTTCTTAAGAGTTGTAAATTTCATTTAAATAACATCCTGAGTCTGGATCTGATATTGGCACGCAACATGATAATAATGTTACGTACCGTGTTATTTTACACATATATATTATACGAAGAGGTGATGTGTATACCGATGGAATAACATATTCAAACAGTGTAGTATCGAACGGCTATGGCGATCACCTGCACATCGTGATATTTAATATAATGAATAAGACATGATCACACGTCCTGGACTTCTCAGAAATGATGAGTAAACGATAGTGTTAACATTGTACTATTTAATATGACAATCAAGACTTGATCACACGTCTTGTAATTCTTAGAACCGATGAAATCGCAGGAAAGGCACCCAACTGAATAATACATTTAATTTAGAGAGCTCCTTTAGGTCATCGGAAGTCACCACCTCCTCAGTCACCACTCTTGACGGTTAACCATATATAAGGGAGACCAGGGCAAGAGCTCAGCAGACGGTTAGGGATATTCGAGACGCTCAGAGGCAGGTCGTAACACCACTCACGGTCTCGTCTATCAGTATTTCAGAGGCAGGTCGTAACACCACTCACACCATCTTGTGCTTATAAAATTGTATTCTTGTACGAGTTAATTGTATTAAATAAAGACTTAATCTTTTAACTTGCAAACATTAGTATTTCTATTTCTACGTTGATATATGTATCGACGTTGACATAACGGACGCAACAATAATAATAAACAGTAAAAATTTATAAAAATCATTTTTTTTTAAAATTCAAATCTTAAATTAAAAATATGAAATAAATAATAATAAATATAGATAAGTAGGTATATCTTTTTTTTTTTCAATTTATACATTTTTTTCTTGTATAGTTATCATTTTCTATTATCGAGGTAAAAATGTGTAATAAACATTTTTTTAAAAGTAAAATCTTTTTTTAATTTTTTAATTTTATAATTTACAATCTGTTACAGAATAGAAAAACGAGTAAAAATGATGTAAGAATAATGGCTTGAGAGAAACACAAATTATAGAAACCTTTCAGTAAAGGCACTTTGACAAATCTTAATTTAAAAATATAAAATCATGGGCGTCCCCCGAGGGGGATGGCAAGACGGAGCATTTGCCACCCCCCTCTAGAATATTGTTATTTTCACGGTAATCGGTAAAATTTCCAATAAGAAATTAGCTTCTAAAAATAGGTCTATTTATGTTGCCATATGACAACACACGATGTTAATGGTTTTAATATAGCATATTATATATATTGTGTATAGAAAAAAATTATCTTTAATAATAATTGGATTATTGTATCTTATCGTATTTTTTGAGTGTTCATATGGCAATAAATTATTAGCTGCTTGCTGGTGCATCGTGTATAATATTATCATGTAACCTTCATCATAATATATCTATCATAATTTTTTAATACGGCTCGTGGATACTCCCATTAGTTCAAACGCAGCTTTCGATCAAAACGAGTGTCATCGCGTTCTCAACGTAATAAAATATACAAATCTTAGCAAGGTAAAATCTTTTTATTACATTAATTATGGACATACGGAAGTTTTTTAAAAACCGTAAATTAGACGATAGTCTGAATGGACCTTTTGATAAAACAAATAGTCTGACTATAGAGACTAATTCCACAAGTACAATTGATATTACTGACTTAAATGAAGGTGGCAGTATTACTGAACAAGTTTAAAATGTTGATGACAAGGAAATGGCTTATTTTAAAAATGATATAAGAAATTACTTAGCAATTTTAAATATTGACGATGCTTTAAAGTTCGATAGTTTGTGTAATCCATGGGTGCCATCTACTTCATATAATTTTAAAAATTATCTAAAATCGGAAAATGGTCGTCCATTTGGGCACATATGGCTGGAAGAAAATAATACTAATATGGCTATCATATTCGGCTATTGGCAGTGTAAAAGTAGCTTTTTATCGAGTATATGTGTATTATTTAAGACAAATGTTTATGGGGGTAGACAAGGAGGGTTTATAATTAAACCATTTACAAAATATAAAGATTTCCAAGCTTGTTGTCGATCACACCTATCATCACAATGGAATATTGAGTCTACAACACGAGCAAATGATTTTTCAATTGTTATGAAAGGTAACAAATTAAATGTTCTTGAACTGGCAAATTCAGGGTTACAAAAACAACGAATATAATAGACAAAAATTAAAACCAATAATTTCAATCATTTGTTTTGTGCTACTTATAATATTTTTCTACGAGGAAAAACGTAGAGAACCTCTACGAGGCGTATTTTATGATTTTTTAAATTTTCGGATTGAATCAAGTGATGAATTATTACAAAAACATAAATCAGAAAATGCGGGATATGCCAAATATACATCACCTCGAATTCAAAATGAAATCTTTTTTATATGCGGAAAGTTAATTAAAAATGAAATAGTTAATTTAGCTAACGCAGCACATGCTTATTCTGTTATTGCTGACGAAACTGCAAATATTTCTGGAACAGAACAATTGTCAATAGGAATTCGATTTTTAGACAAACACTCAAATCAGCCAAAAATTCGGGAAGAATCTTTGGGATTTACTCCATTAGACAAATTAAATACGCAATCCATAGCTACAAACATAATATCATTTATGATTGACTGTGGTTTAAATTTAAACAAACTTTATGGGCAAGAATATGATGGTTGTGCTACAATTGCCGGACAAGAAGGCAGTGTTAGTAAATTAATTCGTGACAAATATACCATAGCGTTATTTTTTCATTGTTCTAATCACAGGTTAAATTTAGTTAAAAATGATTTAAATAAAATAATGATTATTCGTAATACTACTGAAACTATAAAAGATATTATAAGATTTTCCGTGAAAATGCGCTTAGATGAAAACTTTTACCTAATATACCATTTTTTTGTGAAACACGCTGGTCGTCTAAATACAAAAGTATAAGAGTATTTTCAGAAAATTTTATTTTAATAATGAAAAATTTAAAATCATTATCAAATAATGAAGGATATTCGAATTCTAATACAAGGCAACGAGCTCATTACTTATATTCTGCAACCTCAAATTCATCATTCTTAATTTCTATTATTACCATGGCGAAGTACAGTGTTATTTTAGAACTTGTAACAAATATGTTACAAGTTGTTTCATCAGATCTATATAAAGTTAGGGAGCATATTAATTCATTACTTATCATCGAAATGACGCTTATAACATTTTTCAAACATTATTAACGATGTGAAATCAATCGCCATTGAAATAGATTTTGCCATTACAATTTTTGGCAAAATACGGACTGCCAAGATATTGATTTTAACGATTTGTTAAATTGTAACTGTACATTTTTCCCAAGTATAGCTGTTGCTTTAGAAATATTTTAATCTCTTCCGGTTTCATGTTGTACAGCAGAACGTTCTTTCAGTACAGTAAGACGTGTTAAAACATGGCTACGGTCAACGATGTGTGAAAATAGATTGTGTGGGACATGTATGTTGAGTGTTCATCAAGAAAAAGTAAATTTAAATAAAGAAAAATTTATTGAAAATGCACTGACACATTTTGTTAGAGAATGTCCACGGAGATTGCAATTTATATTTGATGAAAAAGAATTATATATAAATAAAAATAATAATACCTAATTATAATAATGAATATAAAAAAAACGTATAAAAAAATTATCATTTATTTTTTAAATTAATTTTTGCCTCCCCTAAGAAAATTATCTGGGGACGCCCATGTCTTTAGTGCTTTATTAGCTCTAAAAAACTTATTCACAAACAATAAAATACATAACCCACAACATTCAAGCAATATTAATCAAAAAATTAAAATAAATATTAAACTTAGGTGGGTACATTCTCACTTTGGTGTTGCAGGAAATAAACAAGCAGACAAATATGCCGATCTTGCGACGAAAAAAATTTCTAATCCTACAATAAACAACATAGCTTCTGATGACATAAAAAATTCCATTATCAAAAAAGCCCCCTCATCATGGCAGAATAACTGGAATTCAATACCAAATACCTTATAACTTAAAAGCATTAAAAAACAATCAAAAATATATCACACCCTTTCATACTTTAATAGACGTCAAGACATTGTAATTACCCGTGTTAGAATTGGATCCTCCATGCTCAAATACTCATTTTTAATCAGCTTAGATCCTCAACCAATATGCGAAACATGCTACCAAATATTTAAAATCGAGCACACATTGCAGGAATTCACATAATACATTAATACACCTCAATATACCATCTAACATAGAAAATCGACGAACACAAAACTTTAAAAATTATTACATTCTTAAACTTTACAAATATTATTAAAATATTGTAAATAAGTTTAAATTATATAAGTTAACTAAATTTAAAAATAAAACGGGCTAAAATCCATTGCCGTTGAAGCCTTATTTCAAATAATAATAATATAAAAGAAATAGTCAATCATATCATGAACTTACTATCAACAGCTGTGAAATTATAAAAGTTAATCATATATATATATATATATATATATATTGGTATAATTATTAACAGATTTATTAATACATTGCCATTTGGATTTTAGAATACGGTGAATCAGTTTAAGTGAAATAATTGCGGTGTCGTCTTAATAATGGTGGCCATAATAGTATTTAAAGTTTTAGGAATGTCAGCTGTATAAATGTTAAATGAGTCGGGAGAAATGTGTCTACCTCGGGGAACTCCAGCTTTAATTTATTAGTGTGAAGATACCAAATTGCCGTACCAGGTTATGTTAGTAGGGTTGAATAACAGTTCTGATAAATTAATTCGCACAATTTTGTGATTTAATATGGTATTTTGCATAGTTTTAGAGAATTCGTTCAATTTTATTAAACCTAGTAATAAAGAATGATGCATAGGGTATAGTTTTGGAGCTTCGTTTTATTTAAGGGAGACAGGAGTGGGATCATAAGAGTTAAGATCATTTAAGTTGTTAAAAGTTAATTTTATATATATAGGTAATGTTGAAATACTGAAATCTTAAATGCCAAGGTTTTTATTTTGGTGTTGTGGCCAGTAGATGGGACCATTTAAGAATATGTGTGTATAATTGTATATAGTAGGTTACGAATTTTTCGAAGTATTTTTTCTCTTGGATTGTCATATGTTTGGCATTGAAATCGCCTATCAAAATTGTTTACAAAAATATTTAAAATGTTCTTATAGTTTTGAATTAATAGTAGGGTAGATAGGAACGAAAACAGAAGATATTTTGATTGGTGTATGATTTAATGTTCTTTAGACATTAGTTACTTGTATAAATGTATAGTAAACGTCTGATTAGCCGGATGTAAATAGTGTTTTATTTTAGGTTATATTATTAAATACGATCCTACATACGCAGTGTAACCAGCATAAATTATTTACTATCATTAGATAATAGTTTGTCAGAGACTGTTATAAGGAGTCTTATTAATAGATATTAATAGATATTGTAGTGATTTAATTGAGCATTATTACTTTTAAGTCAAAATAAAGTAAACTTTAAAAAATAGATAAAGCTTGAAATTAGATTTAGATCTTATTGTGGTTATTCTAACGTCAGGGTTATGCTTAAAAAATTTGTCATTTTATTCTTTAAAGTTGACCAAATTGCATTATATTACATATTTTTTTTTTTTAATTTTAAACGAAATAAAATAGTCAGTACTATTATGAACTTAGTTAAATATTACTGTAATTATAAAAAAAATGTATGGCCTTACTCATTTTATAAACGCCTTTTGCTATAAAATATAAATACAATAAAGTGATTAAAATTATTTTATTTTATAAATTATGTTTAATGATAAAATTCGAGATGTAAAGAAAAGTTATACTAATACATAACTCGTTAAATTTAATAGATAATTTTAAACAACTATGCCAATTAATAATAAATGCAATATAATAATACATACAGTATTTCTCCAATGTTTTTACTTTAAAAATTATATTTAATGAATGTTAGTGTTATTTTAAAATAATTCTTATGTTATAGTTCATTTTAGTAATATATGTAAGCGTAGTATATAGTTATTAGTAATATGATATGTATAGTGGTGTATGTGACTATGGGACCGGACGCGCCACCATGAATCTGCCGATTCAGCAATTCCTACCCTGGCCGTTGCACAGAGAGGCCCCCTGGTCACGACCGCTCCGGCAGTCGTTACGCGAGACGCACTCAAGCAGAACCTCATTTGTTTAAACAGAAATTCTATGTATTAAATTAAATATCTTTTTAAGTTTATAGTAAATCGTAATTCTATTCTATTATTTTAACCGTCTAATTCTTTCGCAACGTCCTGACTTCCTTTTACCCACGTAATTAACGCGCCGGTACACATCATTTGGTGGCAGTGGGTGTCAAAAATTCCATTGTTAAAGAATTCGTTGAAGAACCTACGTGTACTACCGCTTTTCCTTACGGGTAGAAGACCAGAAGTTATCAGAGCATCAAGAAACTACGACAAGGAACTCCAAAGCATCTCAGAATCAAAAGATTAATTAGCAGAGCATCAAGATTTTCAAAAAAAAAACGTCAACACCAACACCGCCGTCGCAGAGGACGTCACCGCCGCCGAATGCCGCCCAACTACGAACATAACCGACGATCATCGTGTCTCCACGGCACATCAGCCACAACGAACGAGTATGGAGTGTCAAGGACATCAGCGCCGCCGTCGTCGACGCAATACTACATAGGTCACAGCTGCTGTTATCACGTATCAATCAAAACACAGTCATCAGTTTATCACAATCAACAATGTTTTTATATATAGTCGCCTCGTTCTTGTAAGCTATCCAATCATCATTTTATTTATCTTTCTCTTCATACTAATTAATCACTACACATAAGCTCAAACAGATTTATACAGCTGTGAAATAATATGAAATTAATAATTGTACAATTTAAGGGGAGGGAAAATAAATTGAAATCAATACAGTAAACGCAATCGTGAATAATTTTGTACTATAATAATTTAATATTATTAATGCTATAATTTTGCTGTATAATTTTTTTTTTATTTTATTTGCTTTTACTCATATTGTTTGCATGGAATCGGAAGGGTAATTAAGAAAATTAATTAATTAGTCTATTCTATATTGTATAGTTATTTACTCGGACTAATTATTTTAAATTAATCGTAGTCTATGTCAGATACTGATCAAAGTGTAACCACCAATTCTGAAAATTTTATAGATCTTGAAAGTAGTGTTAGTATCCCTTCTAGTAGAGAACTGTACGAACCCTCAGACGAAATTGACTTAGATGATAGTAGGTTCAACAATATATCGCATTCGGAACATATTTTAGACTGGCCAATCCATTTTATAAGTAACACTGACTCGGTCCTCGAAGACGCAAAAAACTTACTTAAATTAACTCGTAAGTAAAATCAAGCAGTAAAAGAAACAATAATGTCAAAGTTTATGACCACACACCAATCTCTAAACTTGAACTTTGTTCAATGGGGAGAACGCAGATGATAGTTTTGCATTTCATAATGCATGTGAATATGCATTACAAAGTATTGACCCGACGGAGAAAGAAAATCTAATCAGGGGCATAACAACTCGATTAATAGGCAAGGCCATACGTCCGTTCAGACATGAGAAACCCACTACTTACAAAGAACTTAAGGAAATCTTGGATCTCACTGTTAATAAAAAACAAACGTTAACCCATTTACATTCGAAATTATCAACATTTAAAATAACTTTGGGAGAGTCTATTCAACAATATAGCGACAGAGTAGAACAATTATACTACGATATCATAGAAGCATCCATGGCAACAAAAGAAATTTCTTGTATGGAAGATTTATCCAAGATAACAGAAAGGCAAGTTCTATCAGCATACACCGAAGGATTACCACATGATAGAAAAATCTTAATAAAAGCTAGTAGACCGAATAAATTATCGGACTGTGTCCAAATTGCATTGGAAGAAGAGACATCACGCATAAATCAAAAGGAAATTCGCAAAAAACATTAACGAATATGAAAATAATGAGTCAGATTTCAAATCAAGTAATAATTATGGAGTTCAAAATTATGGACAGCTCAAAATTTCAATTGTTAAAGTCGAATTATAAAGCCATGGCAGAAGGCCTGTACCAACTTACAATATAAAATCAATGTCACTGAGTTCTGGTACCCGTGCAAACAATTTGATCAATCCGTTAACACGTATCTATTTGAGATTGAAGCTAATCTGGAAAACATTTGGACAACAATAGGGCAGGAGGCTGTTATGGAAGAAAGAGTCCGTCGCAGTTTTGGTACTACATTCACCAAACTGGCAAAAGTGTTATTCAGCTCAAAATCGTTTTTGGATGTAAATTCGATTTTTCAAGGAATCAAGGATCTGTCCATGGTAAAAAAATCAACAAGTGATTTAGTGATTTAGTAGAAAATCAAACTAGGTTAGTCCAAACAACTATGAACAAAATTTAGAAATCTATCACCAATATCTCTGATCATCAGCAAAAACTCAAAGAAAATTACCAGCTTCAACAAACTCAGGCAAACAAAAATTCCATGCCAATTAATACATTAATGGTAAAAACTACTTTATTAGAACAATCTATTATTCTGGAATCACTCCTCAATTAATACGCGTATGAAACACAAAATCTCATTTCTATCATTAATTCAGCAATTCATGGAAAAATTCATTCCACAGTATTACTACCAATAAAGCTTCTTAGGGAACTTAGAGCGATCCAATTAACGTTACCTGCAGGAACCCTACTCCCAGTAGAACCGAAAGTACAGAACATACCAGAGTTTTTATCAATATCTTCGATTTCCATACTACAAAAAGATTTTCTTCTTATCTTCGCATTTCAATTCCCAATAATTACTGTAGATAGCTACAAAATGTATCACCCCATTCCATTACCTTTTTATATGGATGATGATAACGCTGTTATCATCGAACCAGAGATTGACTATATATCTTTTAGCGACGATAGTGAATTCTATTTCACTCTGATTTAACAACAAAGTGATTCTTGCACTAGACTAAGTCCATACACCATTTGCAAAGGCAGCGAACCAATTCAACGAAGGGCATCCTCTAAAATTTGCGAGGTTAAAATTTTAAAAAATCCACAATTTCTTCCAATTTCATGCAAGAGTAAAATATATGTAAAACTAGATATAAGCATTTCGAACCGATTAGTTAAAACTTATAGGATAGAAAATTTAAACTAGAAAAATTTAAATTTATTTTATGTACATGTTTATTCATTATTGTATTACTCACAATGTTCTTCACAAAATTCTCTTGGACTTTTCGGGGTAACTGTAATAAATGAATAAAAATCTTTATTATTTGATTGTGTTTTTTTTTTCACTTGATACATAAAAAATATAAAAATACTATCACAAGTATAAGTTCAAAACGTTTAAATCTAACTTTATAATTAATTTGAAACACACTTATAATACTGAAACATTTTAAGAATAATACTTACGTTCAGGCTTAAAATCTATGATTTCATTGTAGTACGCATATATATAATCTATCAGAAATTATAAATATTATAATCTATATAATAGTTTCCTTATTTTTAAAAATATGTGTCAAATTCTATGGATAATAATATAATACAAATGCTTTCATAAATGACGAAATAATAATATTAGGGATTCCCGTTATCTGGAAAAAATAATCTGGCTATCATTTATTAACTGTTACACTCCAACTTGCTTATTACAATGAGAATATGTGTATATATAATTATAATAATATGTTAATTTTTAAATATACCTATTTATATCGTCTATATAATATTATATAGTAGGTATTAAAAATGTTTGCATGACTGCAGTTTGGGTATACAGTCGACAGTTGTAAAAACAACAGTTCTTAACCAACAACACCCATATTAGTCAAACAATTTAAAACTTTGGCTAAGATTTATAAAAGATAATTAATGTCTGTAGCGATCATAAAAATGTATTAAATAACATACTTTGTATAGTATTAATTTCTGATAGTAGTGATTTTCCATACGTCCTTTCTTGCTGTAAAAAAAATATATAAAACACAATAATATTTGATTTGTGATTTTTGAAATAGTATGTTAAAACTTGAAGAAGCTATGAAATTAAAAAAAAGAAGAAGATTTCTCTATAATCATTATGACATAATTTCAAAGAACAAAAAAATGCTAAACTACAAGTAGCAGACTGTGAGTTCAAATTACTTTGTTACTCATTATTCAAATACCTACTAAAAGATAACAACATCTTTTGTTTATCTTTCATTGTGTGAAACTTATTGATAATTGATAATGATTAATACCTTGTTTTTCTTGTGTCTTACTAGAAATGATTATATACAGTAACTATTTAAATTCAATAAGGTAACATCTAAAGCGTTGATTATTTTATTTTCTAATTGGAGTGTATTATTGACATACTGAATAATAAAATAAATTATGATATCGTATTAATGTATATTAATAAAATTGAAATCAATTTCAAACGTTAAGAACAAAAATAAATAAACAATTCATAGAACTCTAATTAATTATTATTAAATGTGATTTGTATTTTAAAGAAATATTTGGAAGAATAAAATATTGAAATTGCGTTGAAAGTTATACTTGATGTATTATATATTTTCATTCTCATTTACAAAGCCTTAAAAAGAATCAATACTATAAAGGCATTAGTTTTTTAATATATTTATCAATTTTTAAGGTTTTCAACTAAATAATATATAATATTACATTTTGAAAGTTTTGATTTAATGTGAATTGAGTGTAAACTATTTCTAATTATTATTATTATAGTTTTATTAACAATAAGTATTTATGTAGATATAAAAAGAACTATAATGACTGATTGCTTTATTTTTTATTATAAAAAAAAAAAAATAATAAAAAATAGTTTTAACTTAAATAAGACAGTTAAGTCGATGAGTATTAAATTTAAAATAATTTTACGAAACTCACCTTGTCTATAGTATATTGGATTAATTTATTATTTAATTGTGATTCAAATTTGAATGCTGAATTCTGACTAGCAGCTAATATTTCATGATTGGTATTCGCAAACATGAGTTACCACAAAATTAATGGAAAAAAAAAATGTTCTATTATATTAATTTATTATACAGATATACGATACACGCCATATAGGGTGTTATAGAATATTATATGTCTAATATTTTTTTTAAGCGTAGGCATCAAATATATTTTAAAGATATAAATCATAACCTCATTAAATTACTTACGATATTGCATTGCGAAATTGTAATTTATAAGTGGTAATTTATCTACAGATATACATTTAATACATCAGGTGTTTATTACTCTCTCATATTTTATGGAGATTTATGTATCGCACAATTTTTATATTAACATGTATTGAATACAAATATGTAATAATTAGGGGTGTGAATTTGTAGGAAAGTATATTTTTTTAAACTGATTATGAATTTGAATTATGTTACAAAAGTTCCATTTATGAAGATTTTATTTTGAATTATTCGACGTTTTTAAATGTTTAGGTCATATTTTTATTTTAGTTTATTTCTTCGTATTTTTAATCAAATTCTGCCAATTAACATTTTTGAGAATATATTTTTGTTTTACACAGGTTGTACAAACCTCAAATTTATATTTTACATAAGCTGTATGCGGGTCAAAGATAATGATTCAATAAAATAAGGTATTATTGCTAGTTATCAGTGGCATCTAATTATATCAGTCACGAATTTCCAAAATGGTTGATTAATAATTTTAGAAGGTTATTGTTATTTAGTACCTTTTCGACGTTCGCGAGGATACTACAATTTTTGTCATTTGAAGTGCATATTTTATTGCATTTTTGAAATTTTAAAAGAATTTTTTAAGGTTATTCATTGTTTTAAATTCACAGACCTGGTCATAATTATAAAATAGTTTCACCTATTTTATATGATTAGGAATATAATATAAATAACAAAAATTGATCCGATAACACTTAATTATAATACTATAAATAAGCATACTTACACATAAACCCGACTATTTTTAAACACTCTGTTATTTTGTTTCCGAAATCAAACAAATAATATAAGTAAACATAAAATTAAATTAAAAATGTCTTCTTGAAAATTTTAGAATAAGTAGGTTATAACTTCAATGTACAGATTAAATTTTTAATGTAATTCATCTGTTATCAGCAGGGCTCGGGACTTAATGTTCATACATATGAAGAATAAAATATAAATTTTTAATTTGACATCCTTATAAGTATCAAAAAAAAAAAAAAAAACTCGTGTGTGTGTTACCAGTACGCGCGCGGGAAGTTAAACTTCTTTTGAGCGGTACTCACTGAGTGAGTGAAAAAGAAAGTAAGGCATGGATAGAATGAGGTAATGAGGATAATAAAGAAAGTAAAGAAACAATGTAAATTATATTTTTTATATTTTTTTTATTCTAATGATTGATTATCATTTTGCTCAATTGGTATAGTAGTTATGATTGGCATATGATAACTAAAATTTGCGATTGAACATTATCGATATATCGCGTAAAAATCGAAGTAACCATTAAAATTTAAAATAGGAATTAGGAACTACAGTAAAACTCGCTTAAGACGCTCTCGCTTAAGACGCTTTCCCGCATAAGACGCTGTTTTTAGTCGGTCCCTAGACATTTCCTATACTAGTCAATGTAAAAATCACCTGTTAAGACGCTCAGTTTTTCTCTGTCTAATCGGGTAAAACGCTCTTTTTTTCAGCAGATTACGATAAATTTTAGTAGTTTTGTGAAAATAAAAATAGAATTTTTAGTACTATACGTGTTCTTATCGTTTTATTTTATCGCTATATCTATTTTATCATTACTTATTATAACAGTTTTACTGTATTTCATCGTCTACTCCTACAATAACTACTGGTTTGCAACATTTATCGGAAATTCGGAAAGTATTATCCTGTGTTGAAAATTCCGAAGAAATGTTAGGTTGTCTTAATAAAATTGAAAACTTTCTTGCTGAAACACATTGTCAGAACCTTAAACAATCAAAAATAGATCATTTTTTTAATAAACAATAATAAAATATGTATGTAATAATAATATTTTTTTAAATTAAATTCAGTAGCACAAAAATATAAGTATGTATGTATATTGTAATTATAATTGGTTGTCGCCGGGACAGCACGTGCAATTTCGAGCCGTTTGCTGCCACGACTCGCGGTGTGTTAAGGATAAAAAGGGTTACTCTAAGCAGTATAATATATACAATTATAGAAATACAGTGTAATAAAAAAAACATATATTTTACCACAATGATTAATATAAGAATTGATTAAATAAGAAAAAAAAAGGGCGTCCAAAACAAGTTACTGAAAATATCGTAACATATATATACATATAAAATAAAAATTGGAGAAAGTATATAATCAGGTTCACGTAGCGTGATACACAATAATAATAAAATATAAGATATATAAACAACCAAAAGGACGACCTGGTAACTTCTGCACTTCCCTCCGGATATGAAAAGATGATTGTCAGTCCACTGACGGATGATACTGGTCCAAAAAACGATGGAGTCCGCACGTGTATGGTACGACCAAAATAACCACCAAGGTTTATAGCGGCGGCACACGGCGACACGCACAAAATTATATAAAAAACAATGTGGAGCAACAATTAACTAGGTTGCCTTTCAAAAAAAAGGTTTTATGTCGCAACACGCGTGAAGGCGACAGGCAACACACCTAGATATGTACCGTCCGGTGGTTGCAAAAAGACACTGACTACGTATATTATATTAAAAAGGTCGACGGGCAAAACCAGCCGGATCCATATCTGTCTCGCGACGATTATATCGCACATGAGATAATTATGAGACGATAGCGGAGTTTTGTGGCGGCGGGAGGGAAGATGTACGTTTATCTGAACCGGCGGGCAATTAAAAAGATACCGAGTTCGAACAATAATTAATTTATAAGTGTATTTCTCATTAAATTATGTTTAATAATAAAAAATAAACTCGATATTTCAACCACATCATTTTGTTTCATTCCCGCATAAGACACTTTCCCGCATAAGACGTTTTAGAGAGCTGGTCCCTTAAAGAGCGTCTTAAGCGAGTTTTACTGTACTTATTACTTAATAACAATATTATTATATTAATAACAATGGCTAAAAGCACACTGACTGGATACGTGTACAACTTAGCCACCACGGGAACGCGGGCCGCCGCCGACACTACCACTTCAACCCACCAACCAATCAAAAAACCGGCTCGCCGCACGACCAGGACCTTTAATCGCAAGTCGCAACTGCGCGTGTATGGTATTATTATTATCATCGTAGTCGTCGTCGTCGAAACCGCATCAGCTGTCACCGTTCAACATTATAATTTATAATACGTAATATTATTATTATTATGTGATATTATGTATATGACGTACTGATACGCTTCGCACCGCCGCCCCGACGACCGTATGAAATCATCTCGGACGATCATTCCGTTTTTATCTAAATATTTATCTCATTAATATTATTGTTGAGTATTCTTTGTTTAATAACCCAACTAAAAATACTGTCACTTAATGACACAACCCATAGTCGTTTACAAAATACAGCTACGACAATCCGCGACTGCGCACAACGACATGTACGCGTTTGCGTTAGTACGGCCGCCCGTTCGCTTTTTTTTTCCTCACTACCCTGCGTAAAGAAGTTTAACTTCAAAAAAAAAAATAACTATCGTATCCAATTTCTTCTATCTATTCTCGAACAAATATGTAAATGCATAAAGTCCTGATCCCTGGTTACCATTGTATCAGTAAGTCACTGTAATGTATATGTCTAATTTGAATTAAATGGTAAAGCATTCCATGTAAAAACAATTCTAAGTAAAGATAATTTGCCACTATATATTTTATAATATACAAATTGATATTCAAATAAACAATTTTAATAATAATTATTATAGAAATGGTAAGGTAAATTGATTTTTACCAAAATAATTATACTCGTATTTAAAAATGTCATCGTATAAAAGAAATATAATAATATGCCATAGATGTTTCAAGTAGTCCTGAATAATAATGTTATTTGCCTTACTTGTAATATATTTTTAATTTTATTTGTTTTTATAGATATTTAGAAAAATACTGTTAGTTTTTTACTTTTGATATCCTCAAAGAATCAAATGAGGCCAATTTATTTATTTACTACCAGAGACCACACCAAAAGTTAAAATTCGGAGCGTTATTACCTGACACTAAAAGGTGGTGACAACAAAAAGTTTTTATCAAGTAAATCCATTCATCACTTCACTTAGTTTTTATGAAAAATTTAATTTAATTCATATACACCGTTCCAAATCATATAAGAGCACTGCCAAAACGCATCCAAATGAACTGCAGAGCAACGCCTGGACCCCCCCCCCACACTGACAGAGTCTAATTGCTTTGTTTTTTGTCGCTTTTAGTCGGCTATGTCGCCGTCGACGACGTCGTAATAGACAGAGAATTGCAATTGCCAAAATGGTCGGCGGCAACGCCCAATGTAGCTCGAGTTTCGATCAGTTTTCGTTTTTCCCCGCCAGGTGCGTAATAATCGTTATGATTACTAATAACGAGTAGCTCTATAAAAAACTGTTTTAAAAACAATTTAAGTTATTATACATTACTAATATTATGTTAGACACAAACCGAAACATTTTTATGCATTTATAACTTCAAAATAATTTGTACTTTTCAAAATTTTGACGAATTCTATAGATAATTTCAATTTAAACGTTTAAGAAAAAATAATGAAAATATAAATATTCAATCTTTTATTTAAAGGAAATTAACAACGTATTGCTCCCCTTGGAATCTTAAAACAATACTATACAAATACACTATTAAATGTATAATAAAACATATACTGACATAAATAAATATCTTACCAGCGCATACTAAAAAATTAAATTAAATAAAATAATTTTAACTTAATAAATATGAATGCTTAAATTTTAATATAAGATAAAGCTTGAAATATTATAGAATTATGTTAAGTAGGTACATAATATAATAAATCCATTTTATCATAGTTATTTCATATCTACAATACAATTGTAATTTACTGATTTAAAATCCATTACTTTTGCATTCTAAAAACAAAAATAAAATATGCATTAAGTTTATGATTTGATATTTAAAATATGTTTAGTATTACGTATATTACAAATTATAATATAAAACACAACGGTTGATCCTGGGATTAATCATTTATATATTTTGCGTATTTTAAATCGGATGATTTGGTAAAGTCT